GATATGCGAGTATGTGGGACTCCTGGACTACATACCTCCACCAGGGGGAACCGGTTGGTCAGTCTGCTGAGGCCCTGCTGACGAGGCACTAATCCTCGGTAACTCTTGGCTGTCAGGAACTTCTGTGTCAGTCGTATAACCTGCTGCTATGCATCAACACAGCCTCACAGAGGACACAAATGCTCAGTCTGCTGAAGGATTAAATGCACAACTCAGTACAGTATGTTCAGCATGCTGATTAATCACACAAACACACACACACACACACACACACACGCACACGCACACTGCAAACCCTTAAAGACTGTCTGTTGAACTCGTTTTATCAAAATACTATTTGTTCTCCTGCAGTACATTTTTCAAATGGAACACTTCTTGTGAATGTATTCCCAATCTGATTCTGTCGATGTCTGTAGAGCTACTGTATATAAACAAAGATAAATGTTTGGTATAATTGTTCACAAGTCTGTGTGGACACAAGTTGTGCAAGAGTGTACATGTGTGGGAAAATAATGCGTTGTGTGTGTGAATTCACAAGAGGGAGAGGTACAGAGGGTGGGGCGCATATATGGATGTTAGGCAATGTAGAACAGCTGACAGTTTTTCTGCTTTGTAGACAGACACACACACACACACACACACACACACACACACACACACACACACACACACACACACACTAACTCACCCCACAATAAGACTACTGCTCTGTCATGGAGTGCTTACCACTTCCTCCTCCTCTCTACTTGTCTCCACCCTCTCTCCACATATAGTATAGTACTACATGCTCTAGTTGACAGCTCATGCCGAGCCAGCACATTCCACATTATTACTACTTCAGATGTTTGTGGCCCAGAAGCGTGCCGATTGGCTGAGCTCCCTCCGACACTGGGGCATGGAGAGCCAATGAACAGCCTGCTCTGGGGAGCGAGGAGACAGACAGAATATTCAAAGGGAACTCCCTCTGCTGGGTAATACAGACGAGAATGCCCGGGTTTGTCTAAACACAGACACGACTGTCTGTTAATAAAATGTAATCTAATATTCAAAGTTTCAGTTTTGTCCTAAAATCTTTTCCTATTAACTGTTTATTTTTATTCTGTTACCTTCCCCGGCTCCTGCTGCCTTCCTGTCCCTCTAATCAGACACCTTACTGTTAGAAAATATTTGCACAAATCTTACTTATATGAACGTATGCAAGTGCAATTTTCCTTCTTTTCCCTCCCACTCTCCAGAGCCACGCCTTATCATTTCCTCATTCTCTCTTCCTCTTCCTATCCCGTCTGTCTGTCAGAGAGTGATCCTGCAGCTCAGCCTGCTGCACCGATAACAGATTCTCATTGTTAAAACATTCAAGCTCAAGCTGCCCTTGAGTGATCAGATCATCATTTAATGCATACAAAACTATATTCTTAAAAAAAAAAAAACGGTCACATTGGACTGAGTGATGTATGCAAAAAAACTTTTAAATCCCTTGAAGCCTTTAGTGCTCCAGTTCTGATGAAGTTGTCTTTACTAAAGTCGTACGTATATACCAGACTATTTGTCTGTCAGCGAAGACAACTTTGGTTAAGTGCATTGGGTATGCGTACGTGTTCATGTGCTGTGTGCATGCGACAGAGAGCAAACAGAGAAAGCTGAGCTGTGCAGGGCATATCTTGTATAATAACTGAGAGCTTTAGTGAGGCTGGATGAATTTTAATAGAGTTCTGCGGGGTATTCCATTGCCTCTGGTCCCACGGCTCAAAGATCAGAGAGAATTTTCAAGCATGGCGTCCCTCAGCCTCTCACACTCTCTCTGTCTCATTCTTTCTCTCTTCTTCTCTTTTTCCCTCCACTTCTCTTCCCATTTTGAACTCCCTTTTCCAATCCTTTCCTCCCTCTCGGGTTTTTGTCTCTCTTTTAATCCCTCTCTGTGTCTCACAGTTTCTGTTGCTTTCTCTCTCCACTCTGTCTCCCTGTGAAATTTGTATTAGAGCCACTCGAGGCGTAATTATTGCTAAGCCTCTCTCAGTTCCCTGGCACAGAGAACAACTCATGACTCTCAGCACAAAAACTTGCTACTGAAGGACAAAATGCTGCGATGAACTTTTAAAATCATGCACAATGGCTGACAAAATGTTTGGATAGTTTTTACCACGCACAGAGATTATACAACAGAGAGCTAATTTTGTCACTGCCTCAAAGCCGTTTAAGGAGTTTTGTACTTTTTTTTCTTAAGTTCTACACGCTTGAAATTTATGGAAGATGTTAAACATTTATAATTCAGTTCACTGCATTTACATATGTTCCACCACTCCTCATTGGCATCAGACCACATATGTGGTCCAAGGGGATCCACTGGAGGGAATTAGAAAAAAATAGAGACAGAAAAGAAACGTGCAGATGAAGACACCAAGGTAAACCACAGCCGCCATGACAGCAACATGGTCGCAAGAGAACGAAATTAAAAGACCAGTGCTAGTAAAAACTCTTAAATGGTGGCTGTGATTTGTGTCTTTTGTTCTATTTGTATGCATATTGGAGTGAGAAAGTTGGCAAGAGACTGGTGATGATTACTAATTCATAAGGATTAATGGATGCTATTTAAAAACCTACCAGAGAGAGCCGAACTAATGTTGCGTCTTCCTACTGGGACCCTAAGACAAAATGTGCCCCTGGCTAATCTTACATGAACAGGGCTCATAAAAATTCAACTCCACTGCACTTTGGCACTGAAAATCCAGTGCTGAAGTTATGCATTTGTTCACGTCACCTATAAACTGTCCCAGAAAAACACAACTAGTTTCAGATATGAGTGACCTTTAATCAAACACAAAACATTTATTGACCGGTGAGAGGAGTCGCTACAGTGGTAATACCATAAAAATGGCATTTACAGTAAATTTTACCAACACCATGGTATATGTAGGGGTGCTAAATCAAAGGTAACTGGACTTGCTGTAGATTTCTTGAAGACATTTTGCCTTTCATCCAAAAGGCTTGCTCAGTTAAAGGGGATTCACAGGCATTATCCTGATGATGATCTGGGTGACAATACCATGGTACTGTACCATCACTGTAGTGATCAATAAGGAAAAGGGGTAATACAAAAAGTCCCATGATACTGCAGCAACATGAAGAATTTTGCACTGCAGTACCAGACAATAGAGGGTGCACTACAACATCACTCTTTGAAAACGTATTTTCTCAATCAGCATCTTACTATAAGTGACGGGATCCCACACGAACACACATTTTTCTGCCAATGTTTGAACAGTGTGGGTTATTTTACAGCTATTTCTGTATTTGTTATTTTCTCTTCTCATTGGTTTCAATTGGTGGGTAAATGTAATGTCACGTGCATCTGTGCCTAAAAAAGATTTAGCAGCATCAGAATCTAGCTGTTTCGCCACTGTCAAACGAAGTCTGATCAAACCACACCCACACAGTCCCGATGAAGCAGATTAGCTGAGTTAATTAACTTAATAAATAATAACTAAGGACACACTCTTTTTTGTACTTTGATGCTGTTATTTAGTCATAGATATGTAATGTTCCAAAAAGTTGAGATTTGGGTTAAAAGTTGATAAAGTACAATCTACAATAAAACAACTGTTCCAAATGTACTAACACACACACACACAGACACACACAATCCCTGTGTGACATGCAATTAATAAAGCAAAGTATTCACACTAGTAAAGTATCATCAACAGGTTGCCTCACTGCGACCTAATGATTTCTCATACACTGATGTTTTTGCTCCAGTAGTGAGTTTGCAGATTTATTTTCACATCATTAGCTGTTCAAGGTTCCTGTTTGAGATGTACTTGACAAGGCAGTAGGGGACAGGAACTGTGCCATGACAACCAGACAGGTGGAAGGACAGGAAGACAAGTACTGCAGAAATATATTTTTCTGCAAGTCAGCATGTGTTTATGCATGCCCTCATTTATAGCAGCAGCTGTGTATTTATCAATTATAAAAACACATGCTGTGCTCTTTACCATTCCATCCTGATTACAATCAAAAAACATATTTGAAAATAATTCCAATATCCAGTAACTACAGTCGATTTCCATCTGCTGTATCTCAGCCACATACTGTGTGGATCTGTTGTCTAATGTCGCCTCCATGTGGCAACAAGTGCCATAGCAAATGTGGAGAAATCCTGCTGTAAGATGTAATGTGTCCTTTACAGGTCTTTAAGTAAAAACTAATCCCTATAATCCTGTATTCCTATAGCTGCAGTAGCTCCATCACCCACACTCTCAGGCATGAACAAAGGAAAATGATTTCTTAATGTCTTCTGAAAATCCTGTCAATTATGTTAACTTTTTTTTGCTAAAACAGTCCTTCTTTACTGTCTTAAAGTGCCTTAACATTGTCCCACAGGTAATAACGGGCACTTCCCATATAACCGCTTTAATGTTTTAAACTCGACTCGTCTTTCTCATCCCTCCCACCCAATCCCTTTCATTTTCTCTCTCTTTCCATCTGTTCTCTTCTCTCTCTTCGTCTGCATACAGGAACCGGGGGGTTTCCGCACATCTTCTCGCCAGCAGACACCGGTCTGCTCTTCACTCACGCATCCATCGGCGCGGATCCGACTCCTCCCCTTCATCCCTCACCTGTCTTCCTCTCAACCCGTCATCAATCACACCTCGACCCCTACCCCTCACACCTCGACCCTCTCCCCCATCCATACATCCCTCAGCCCACCTTCTGTGCAATCGATCCGTTCTTTTCGTACAATCTCGGCTCCATTACAAGCAATAAACCATTTTAAATCTTCTATGTTCGTGGGCGTGGTCTTGTTAGTGAAAGTGTTCATTTTTGAAAATCCTCATCTGCCAATCTGACTGCGTTGTTTGACATTCAACATGTGCGTACTTTTACAGAAAGGGGTTTTGCTTAGCATAAAAAAATAATAATTCTGAAATAATAATATTAATAATTAAGTGAAATAAGTAGCCATACTGTGGATTTAAGTAAAGTGAACTGCTAAACCAACATTATAGTATATGAATAAAAAATTTATAATCTTTAATACCAGAAGAGCTTTACAATGTGAATAATTGAAAATCTGTCATGAGCAGTGGCATATTCAATAACGTAGTTCAGACAATCAGTAGTTCTTTGATGCAAAACAGCTGCCCTGAGTCACAAGAATTACAAGTCTGTAGACAGGAAATATGAGCGGAGAATTCACAAACACAATTTCTTATGTTTTAACGTGGTCCACCGGGGAGAAAAGGTTATTGTTACATTTCACTGTGGCGGAAACACAGCATAACAATACATCTTCTTCAAAATATCCATAGGCACAAAGAATGGATACAAATAAGTCCGGCATTGTTTTTCTTCAGTCTGAGCGCTTAAGAATAATCTCAATATAACAAAAAAATCATTAGCAAACCAAACATCTGATTCATCACTACCTTGAAGAATAAAGAACACTGCATATATGAAAATGCTGCAAAGCTTAGAACCTAATAATAAAACAATATATTATGACAAAAGAAATATATTAAGATTCACATCATATGAGGAAAAGTATCAAGATATCTTGAGAGCTTAACATACTCTGTTCTGCTGAAAAGGGTCAAAAATCAAGGTGATCAAAAATCACAATACTTTAGAGGGTTTCCTTACAGCTTATTGGTTGAAACGGGAGTTTTTCCTAGCCTGTGTTGCCAAGTGCTTACTCATGGTGGGAATTGATGGGTTAATAATATTACAAAAGAGTACAGTCAAGCCCTGCTTTATATGAAAAGTGCAATGAGATAACATTTGTTATGAATTGTGCTATATAAATAAAATTGAACTGAAGTGATTCAGTGGTAAAAACAAAATTTACACCAAAAGATGTAAAGCTGGATTCTTTGGATTCCAAAGTACCAAGCTCAATGCATCCGATTTTAAAGTGCAGTTTAAGTAAGCTTGTGTGATCCAGTGAATCAATGCCTTGCTTTTTTCAACGTTAGTTCATTTGTGACCGATTTCAAGATGTCCTTGGCACACACGGGCCTGTAGCACTTTGTCGTTACCTTGCCAAGTATACGAGAGTCTGCTGCTGGAGGAGAGACTATCTGCCTCCTCTGCGCTGGACAACAATGGTCCCTGCCACAATGTCATACACAGTCCTGTTGTGCTGGAAGAAGAGGAGAGTGATGAAGACGGGAAAGAGGAAGGCAATGGAGAAGTTCTTATTAAGTGCCCGCACTGTAGAGCTGTTAAAGTTAAGACAAAAGAAAACAAGAAGTTAGATTGAGAATGCCCACACAGATGCTCTACATGTACTAAAGACTACAAGAGACATTGCTTTGTGATTTAGACAGCACAGTAGATTCCAACTTGGACAGTCAAAGGCTCATTGTAAGGCCAAATCCAGACCAAACCAAGGTATTTTACAATAGTAACAGGTTTTCCGAATCAAAAAGTAACTTTTCCAGAATGCAATCACCAGAATGCAATCACTCACGCAGAGAGGGAAACGTTGGATGCCGGAACTACAAGGACTCGGTTGGGTCGAACCAGAGTGGACGTATCACATGTCACCACCCGCAGGCCAAGCAGGAACTTCCCTGGTGTGGCACCACCAGCACCCCAAATACAGATTATCTGTTTGGACAAGAAGGACAAACACAGTTTAACACTGAATGCAATTTTAGCCTAACATGAGACACACGTTAATAAATAACCCTGTGGGCTCCTGACCATGCCAGCAAAACACATTGTACAACCACTACCACACTGTCACATGCCAGAGTAAAAAAAGCAAATAATACATTTTCAGGTTTTCACAGACAAGGTCAAAAGCTTAGAAGGAAACATCCCAGATGGCATTAGTCTGAGCAGCAGTGCCTGTACATCCCAGTGCTGCTTCCCACCTGGGAAAACAAGCCACTGATGCGCAAGGTGAGCAAGAGACGTGATACATGACTTCATCTCAGGCAACTATGAATGCAACATTGCATCACTGTCCTGGGAAATGATGTTGTGCTGTAGAAGAACTCTGACCGTGCCTGACTCTTCATTGGGGTAGTGAGGCAGCTCGTGCCAAACGTGAAATGATGTGTTAATAAGTCATTTGGTTCATTCAGTTGGGAAAAACATGTATGCAGCGTTACATTAAAAAGACACTGGCTTTAAATACTAAAGTAAAAGTAGCATTAAATAGTTATTTCACCCTCAGATTTTCTTAGAACTCACATTCCCTCCCTGTAGACTTGAAAGATGTTACTAAATGTTGTAAATGGATCAATGTTAAACAACCATTATTAAGTTTGATGACCATACATTCTAAGCAAGTGAACGTAATCTACATGGCTGGAAATGTGACTTTTCAATATCTAAAATATTGCATATTACACATACAACACCTAGGCGCCTGCCTTTGCCAAGACAAGGCAAAATATGATTTACCTCATAGACACACACGAACACCCTGTAGACCAGAGCTACAGCCATCATCTTCTGTAGGTCCTCCATGGACGTGTTTTCATCGATCTCCTCCACAATGAAGTGGGTAATAAATTTGGCAATGTCCCTTAAAAGAGGAGAGACAGTATGCTTGTGAGAGGGTGGATCTGGGGATTGTTGAAAACAGCTTGGCATTTAAGTAATGATGCAGACTCTTCCGTTCTACAAAGTCTGTATTTTTCATAACTGACCCACAGCTACGCAGTGTTTGCAGACATACTGATCGTTTGGATTTCGTGTTTAATACTTTCACTCACTTCATACCACTCAGATGCATGATCCACAGCACGATGGTGGCCTTCACACAAAACAGGATGAAGAAGTCTACTGTCTCAGCTAGGAACCTCTGGAGAGGAGAGGGGATGGTGTACTCCTGTCCTATATGAAGCAGATAAAAAAGACATGTTTGCTGAGAATGTTTTTCAATTTCACAAATAAATGACCTTGCATCCCTGACTGGCAAACTTACTGTAGGTCTGAGGAGGTTTTAAATGAGCACAAACAGAGACTTTGGAATTACTCTAAGCATGTAAGCTTGTTTCCACAGGGCCACACACTTAAGCCTGCTTCCCATTAGACTCATGACCTAGCTTACACAAAATAAAGCCCACACATTACTGGAGGCTGAACAGCATTGTGGATTAGGTAGGCCACACTGACTACTACAGCAGCTCACTGTCAAACTGAGCCATACCTGCCTGAGGTGCATTTCCATTCTGCTGCTGGGCAGGCCGGGCATCAGTAGCTGGTGTCGGGGTCGTGGCTGATCGCTGCTCGGTCTGGGCACCACCCGGATGATTAGAGGATGCAGGAAAACTGAGGGGATAAGGGTAGCTGTACCAGTTTCCCGTGTCAAAAGCGTGCTGCTCGCCGCCGGACGTCGAGGCAGGTGTCCCTGGTGTCTGGGTGCTTGTCCCCGGCAGGGGGAAACTGCACGGAGGAGGGAAAGGGAAAGCTGACAGAGTCACCCAGCTCTGCCAGCTTGCATACCCCCAGTAATACTGCCACATCCACTGCTGCAACTTTGCACAGTATTCCGTTGTTGCAGTGGTCTGAGGAGGCTTAGCATCACTTTCAGGGCCGTCACGGCGGTTCTCACTCTTCGTAGTCGCAAACATGTCTGACCCACTTCCCAGTCTTGCCTAATTTGGCACTAAACTATTTTCAAACGTCTTTAATATTTCTCCTGCTCCGCTCATTAGCTCACAGTAGGCTACTTGCACCGCGCCAGTTAAGTGTGTTTGTCAATACAGGGATTTCCGACATCGCTCAGCGTTACACGTTATTTTCCCGAGTGATGCCATTGTAGAATATGTCGGCTATTTAAATTAAACAATATTGTATAATTTAGAATTACAATGTCTACCTTATGTGTGCAGCAGAAAACAGTCAAATACCATCATGTTGTGGAAATGGCTTAAAGCAGCCCCCCTTCTGTCATTAATGGTATGAGCCATTTAAAGGCGCATCCTCCATCAGGCACAGAACTCTTTCTCACAGCAACTTGTGGTAACAAAGGCAATTGATTGCACCATTGGTATAAAAAAATCATTTGTTTTAAAGAAATGTGAGGCTTTGTAGAGCTTTTATCGCCCTCTTCATGTTACTCCAAAATATACACTCTGTATTGTCCACTCATTTCACCGTGACCAGCTTGTCAGAAATAATTAAATGCTAGCACCTTGAAGTGTTTGTTGTATGTCACTGTTATATATATAATTAACTGAATAACTGAAATAATTCATCTGTCGGGGATTGAAAAGGTTCAGCAGGTTCTGCATGGGAACAGTATCATATGAGGGAGAGCTTATCACAAAGGTGCCCATTGTCACCACATTGCACCAATAGGATTTTTGATAGGCCTACTGTATTTGTTAAATATGTATGTGTAAAACTGAAGGAAATTCAACATATTTTGCATATGAGGTCAATAACACAAACCTTTTAGGGTAACAAGGAAGCAACTTCCCTTTGAAAGTTGACATGACTGACAGCACTCAATCTCAAATTTTTAAATATCGATCCTTCCTTTTAGTCCTAACTCAAAGAACACAACCTTTCTGTTGCACCACAAGGGCGCAGCAGAGGTCAGCTGATAAAACAGAATAACACATCAAATACCATCAGAATAGTTTCTGTTATTTCTATTAATGACATACAAATGTGTATGTATACATATATATGGTATGTTTTTATATTATAAATGATATTAGGTTATACAATGGTATAACTTCCTGTATGCAAATGTGAAACATTGTTAGCTGCATTTTTACTGTGTCAGGTACATTAAATTTGTTTTATGCAGTTTCTGACCATTTAGATGTACATCCCAGGGGTGGGAGGTGGGAGTTTCGGCCTGCAGCCTGAGTTCAGTAAGTCTGTAGTTTGCAACAGAGGTCATCGGGGTAAAAACGGACAACTCTGTAAAAGCTGCTGCGGAAACGGCTTTGATTCAAAAGATTTGCTGGCCAGTCAGCTGATGAAAAGCTATGTTTTGCTCCCTCTCTCTCTCTCTCTCTCTCTCTCTCTCTCTCTTTCACACACACACAAACACACACACACACCTCTATATTTTCCTTTATATCCTTCTTTCCAAGATGCAGGACCTGCTAACTCATGTGTCCCACTCTCTCCTTTATTCCACCTCTCAGTCTCTCCGTCTCTTTCTTTGTCTCACCCTTTCTCTAATTTTACTGTCCCTCCTCTCTGATTACTAAAGGGGTGAGGGAATGGGGTGTTGTATTTGCTGACTGGGCTGGGCTCCCTGGGTTAGGTGTTAGCTCTGCCAGTTGTAAATGATTGTGCTTGGCCCAGTGAATGGAGCCAGTGAGGCGGATGCCAATCCGACCCCAATGAGCGTTATCCCTGTCGACAGAGGCCATACGATGACTGTGTCCAAAAGTAATCGGGCCCAATAAAAGCTGCGTCCGGCAAACGCTGACCCCCATAGAACCCAACAACCTGGTGGGATTAATGCTGTGGAGGTGTGTGTGTGTGTGTGTGTGTGTGTGTGTGTGTGTGTGTGTAATGTGTAATCTACTTTTACTCTTTAGGAGGCAATAGCTTAATAGTACAGTGAATGCCAGGAGATGACCATCTTACATGCAGTGTAAGCAGTAGAATTGCTTTGTGATGGCTGAGTGAAAACATTTGAAACCAGGATATATGACTTATGCCACACAAGAAGGGCTCTAAGGCCATTTAAGTGCGCACCTGGCCCTGGTGGGGTCAAGTTCACTGTAGCAGCACACGACACTCGCCCTTTTTTCATCTGTAGCAGCTTTGTGATGGGACATTTGCGTGCTACATTTTTCCTTAATGTCAGGAGGAAAATGTTTCTTTCTACCAAGGCTACAACTTAATTGTTTTGCTGATGCTTGCACACAGAGTGCGCATGCTTAGAGTATGCATGGAAGAAAGGCCCTTTCATTCAATTTGTTTAACTTTGCCCCCTTCACACCAGTCTATGCACACCACTGAGGCCCCATCTACAGTACTCCGTTTTTGTTTAAAACAGAGTTTTAAAACAAATACGATCTCCTTCCACACCAGCGTTTTAACTGGGTATCAGAGTTGATCTGCGTCTACATTAAAACAACTGAAAGCGCACATCAAGTGGCCGTTCACGTACACTGGGCATGCGTGTGCTGGTGTAAACATGAAGCAGATGGTCTATTCTGTAGTTACAAAAGATTTGCCGAAAGAATAAAGTCATCGTTTCTAAAGTCCTCCGTTTTTGCCTGTCTGCAAACGCTACACCGGAGTTTTAAATGAGGAACAGGGTCGGGAGCGTTTTCAAACTTCACCGTTTAGGTCTTCATTTCCGCCATTTTAGTCTGGGTGGGAGGTGCAAACATGGCAAAAGGTCTTAAAACAAAAATGCAGTAGTTTGGATGGAGTGTGAGACAGAGGGGAGGGTGAGTGACACGTTCCCTGAGATTCACGCAGTTCATACAGTTCTTGAAAAAAGTTTGCTGTGTCTATACAGGATTTGTACCATGCTCCTAGACATACACTGAGAGAACAAGGTCAGCAAATAATTGCTCAGAAGGGGACTTTAGTAACTAAATTTTCTGTGTATTTGGTCTTAATGTGTTTTATCAGAGATCTAGTGTTTATGTTCTCTCTTTTTTTGTTGAGTCCTTTACTGAAAAATGTTGGTCTTCTCTGCTAGGGAAGCTAGCAGACATTACCTTGATTCATTTAAGGGGCTTCACTCAAATAACCTATCTTCTGCTAAAGACATTTTTAAAAAGCTTTGCTTTGTGTTAAATCTGAGGATCAACCACTCTCATGTCTGAAGGCTGAATATGTGGCCAGCAGGCCATTAGCTTGGCCTAGCATAAAGACTGGAAATGGGGAAACACATCTGCTGATTTGCTTGGCAACCTCCCAGTAACAACAGGACCCCATGAAGTTTTAGAGGTTTTGGTGGGAGGATTTTGTAGGCTAGCTGTTTCCCCCTGTTTCCATTCTTTATGCTAAGCTAATCGACTCCTGGCTGTAGGCTTATATGTAATGGACAGGCAATAGAGTGGTATTGATCTTCTGGGGTCATTCATATCTTCCCCATATTTATATGGCACGCAATGGGAACATGACAAATGGTCCTATTCCCCAGTTCTAGGGTTAGGATTAGGGGTTAGGGGGTAAGGGAATTTAGGACCCTGGGAACATAGATACGGTCCTGATCTTCTCATCTAACTCTCAGCGGTGAAGGGAACAAGCAGATTTCCTAAAATGTTCCTTTATCAATATAGGCAGGTTTTTAGTAAATGTTTTTGTCAACCTGAGAACTTCACAGAAAGAAAATATTAAAATATATTTATGGAGAGAGTTCTTTTAGGAAAAAGGGCTGTAATTATCAATGTTGACAAAAGTGTTTTGACTTTCATCATACAACTAGCACACAAGGAATGTTAAATTAACCTTAAATGGCATTTGCCAGGCTTACTTAGTGGGTAAAATGAGTTACTCCCACAGACATGTGGAATTTAGCCAGCTTACATAAATGTTCCATAGACAACAGCAGATCACTGGTCTTAGTAAACTCTCCACAAAACGCAGTGACTCCTGGATCTTCAAATTCATCATACAGATAAGTTCAGTCAGAAAGCCCACAGGGAAACAGTCCACTCTTGGCCATGTGGGAACTCAAGATTTAGGTTTCTGCAGAGTGGCTTTAAATTATGCTCATGTGATTTTCGTACTGGCATGGTGTCTTGTACAACCACACACTGGATTAAGCTTGTTGTGCACACAAAGGTTAAAGCACACTGATTTAGCCCAGTCAGAATGTGCCTAGTGGGTCGCAGGTTAAAGAAATGAACAAAGTATTAGTCAGTCATCGAGAGAATGTGGGGAAAGGGGTCACTCACGTCCTGTTTTGAGAGAGTGGGGAGCTGCCATGTGATTTACTGTATGTCTAAGTTACTGAGAGTGTTTATGTGATGGTGTAAATCCATCAATAGGCTAGAACATGCTGTAATGAGAGCAACAGTGGCATATTCAAGAAAAATTTGACCTCAGCATTTCATGTTTCAAGTAGTTCTTTACGTTCTCAAACAGGATTAACCTCATTTATTCACTGATTTCATGCAGAGATCAAAGAGTCCATAAAGTTAATACAGTCATTCCTTCAGTGTGATTTGTGCTTGTACCTCATTTCATCAAATTAACCAGGTTGTGATAATAAATACTGCTTTGTGCATTAAACCACAGCAAATTTATGAGTGGAGCAAAGTACTGACAGGAAGAACTACTTCATTTGCTGAGACAGCAGAGAGAAGTTCTTGCTACCTTTGGCCCAGAGAAGAGAAAAATCCCTCTGAGATTCCGTTGTTTTGTGTTATATGTGTAACAGTGAGAACCAATTAAATGAATTATGTCTGCATCTCTGGAGCCCTGACAGGAACACCCAAGAGTATGACTCTCCCACCGGCTCCTGCTTCAAGCAAATTCCCCTCATCCCTCTCCTTGTCTTCTTATTCTTTTCTTACCAACCCTCCTCATACTTTAAAACCATGTTCTTTTCCTCTCCCCTCTAACCAAAACCACATCTCTCCCTCTAGCCGTAGTACTGTCCCTGTTACTACTTTATTTCTAACTCATTCTCTCACTCCTCTTCATTAGGCACCACCACACCAGTTATTAATATTCTGCACAAAATATGTAGACGTGTTCAAGTTCGCTCTACGAGTCTAAATAATTTTTGATTAAATTATTTTGAGTGATGTATGCTCACAAGCTGCTCTAATTATTTTTATGTTAGCAATGGATTCAATTACTATGTGTAATGTGACAATTGTTGCTCATAGTGACAAACCCACAGATACTTATCACCCGGCTGTGCATCTCCCCTCAGCTCTACAAAGCTTTTTAGCGACTCA